TTTGAACGCTTCTAACGCAGTTGTAAATGATTGAAAATATTTTCCGATATTGCCGATAACCATTGTTGAGGAGGAAAATTTTATTTCGGTCGTGTATAATAATATTATCGATGAAAAAAAATTATTTATGTTACTAAAATTTATTTAGCTATGTATAACTTAATTATTGGCGAAAGAAATAATTTCGCTCGCTTATAAGTCGTATAAGCAGGGATGAACAGATTCATTTAGTTTTTAAAAAAATTCTATTCGAACTTGTATATTTTGTATTTTATACATTTCGTATTTTATACATTTCGTATAAAAAAATATCTGTTTTTGTGAAATTTAAAGGAAATGTTACATTACACTTTAGGGCACTTTAAGTAATGTTCTCGTGCAACAGACATTTTAGATAATTGTAATAAAAATTCCGTGGAAACGAGTTATTTTAGGACGTTTAATTGAAAATCTGTTTTTATATTTGAGTGCTATTCATTGAATAATTCAGTGTCAATTTTTTGCTGTAAATATTAAGAACATTTTTATACTGACGAACAAACTATCTGTTCCTTCGATAGAAAAAATTCTATTTTCATATTTTACAAGTTCTGTTTTGTTTAAAACTATTTTTAAGAACATTTATTTATCTGTTCTCATCGAGACTTGTAATGCATTTTTGGAAAAAGTTCTACGATCCATGTTTAGAAAATATGAAATATGAAAATTTCTATGAAATAGAAAAATTATTATAGAAAATATGAAATATGGAAATTTCTATGAAATAGAAAAATTATTTCAAAGTTTCTTAATTTTCTCGATCTCTGAAAAAATTTTAACAACTTCCTTTTATACAATAATTAAGTGAAATGCTGGTAATTGTTTTTAATAAGAATTTTTCGAATAGTTAAAGTGTCTGCTTTTTTCTTTTTAAATTTTTTAATTTTTTATACTAATTTTGTAGACATGAGACTAGTTATAGTTAGTAGTATTTAAAATTAAAATATTGTTTGGTACCTGTATAAGATTACACTGTTTTTTCTTTTGTATATTTTAAAGAATTCTCAAAAATTTTTGAATATTTTTATAAACATCTAAGATATCATTTAATAATTTTTATTGCCATAACTTTTTTTAAGCAATAGGGAAGATTCAATCGAAAATATAGAATAAATGAGAAATCATTTGAATATTTACAACTAATTACTGAAGAAATATTTGGATCTGTGTCTAGAACATTATTATTCATGATCTTCGAAGAAAAATATGACGTGATATTTTCGGCTTAAAATATCGAAAATGATTAAATTTTGATGTACGGAATTACTTGAAGAAGGAAAAAAAAAAAAAAAACTTTCAAATTGTTTTCTGCCTTTTTTTGTTTGTTTTGTTAAATAAAAAAGATTGCATAAAAAAGATTGTAAAAAAGATTGCATAAAAAAGATTGTAAAAAAGATTGCATAAAAAAGATTTGAAAAGCGATTTATCTTGTTTTGAAAGAAATCTTTTTCCTCTTGTTAAGAGAATTCGCATAATTCTGAAGATCAAAAATCTTGGAAATATATTTATGTTTGAAAATCCTAACATCGTTAGCAGTCAGAATCGGTTTATGACACAAACTGAACGACGTTACAGTCGAGTTTCGCATCGCGTCACGTAGGATTTACGTTCAATTTTATATTGCAATCTTATATTCTTTATGATGCTTTGAATTTTTACTGTTTAAAATTTATAAATGCTTGTAAAATGGTGCACTGAAAAAATAATTATGAGATAGTTAATAATTTGACTGTCAAGCGGCTTGAAAACGAGTAGTAAGTGCAACTTGTCAAAAATGACAAAAATATATGTTAGAAAAATAAATGTTACAGAACCTGACTGACGTGTTGCAAAATAATATGAGCCGTTTATTTTGAAAGTTTATTTTTAAGCTTCGATTAAAAAAGATGCTTTTTTTTTAAATAATTGCTTGCTATAACCTTTTTCCATTTTTCAGGTAAATAGTGCATTCTATGATAGAAAAAAGATTTATTTTTTGATGTAATCCATTCACCGATCCATTTTTAGATTTTCTCAGCATCCAATTTTCTCAGAAATTGTCTTTGAGGGTGTGCTACGTGGATTTGAATAATTAATTTTTTTTTTTTAATTAAGAATTTCATTCGGAACTTAAACTATTATTGCTATTAGTAACTTTTGTAACAAATGGCTTGATAGTATTCCTCAATAAAGTCTCAGTTTCCAAAATTTTTTTTCCATCTTCTCAACAGCTCTACGCAATTTCTTTAGTGGTCTACAGTAATCTTACTTAATGATTCGTAGAATAGTTTTTGAGTCGTTAAATTTAAGTCACATTTTTTTCATCAACATAATTTTTTAATTGAGCCAATAGCATTTTAATGGTATTTAACTAGCAATGATATGGGAGAAGCCCAAGAAATATTTTTGCATTTTGCAATTTTATCCATTGCACGTATATTTACTATTGGGTGTTGTTTGATAATGTGTAATAGTTGGAATTTTATATTTTTTAATCATTTTTGGATATCTTTATTTCTTTAATCAGTACTTGACCATAACTATAATAGAATGTTTGATTTTCTCCACAATTTGTCGGAACCATGCAAAATGAGTTGAATTCATTTTTTCACGATAATCTTTGTTCTTGATTTTTATTCAAAAATCCACAGTTCGTTTTTTAAAAAGTTTTCTTTTTCACTGTGTAATAAATTACAAGATTTTTGCCTCTGCCCGATAGGTTCTTCGAGCCAGTTGAAAATCTGTCCAAAAATACATTTCACTGTGAAATCTCATTTTCATTATTTGTCCGGCATTTATCCATGTCCCATCTAAATAATAAATTCGTTTTTTGGTTTGACTAGAATCATTAATTTTACAGAAATATATAATACTCTGCCAAATAATAATTTTTTCTTTGTCTTCCAAAAAACTATTTCGTCTTCTTTTTTTATATTTCGTAGTTTTTGATGTTTTAAAAAATATTGTTTTGAATATTGGAAAGGAAATTTCTTAATTTATGGCTTTTAATATCTTGTCGATCATTGGCAACTCATTTTTCTAAAAGAAATTATGAATTTTTTATCTAATGGTATTTTTTTTCAAAATCATCAGTTTTTGTAAAGTAGATTTTCTACATTTTCTCTTGATTGAAGAGAAAATTGTTCCCGATGTATGCTTCATATGTATTCTATATATAGAATCTAATATTATATAGATCTAATATTACAAGATGATAATAACTCTAATATTATACATTTTATTTATTACACTTATTTCATTTATTTACATTATCGTATTACTATGGTTGCCTAATTTTTCACTGATTTCCACAGTTTTTTATCTCCCCCCTACCTCTCTCTATGTTTCCTATTGAGATTATAAATAAATACGTATATAAAATATTATTTTTTTCATTAGAATTAAAATATGATCCGTTTTTTAATAGATGACATAATTACAATATGTCCATTTGTAAAAATTGTCAGCAAACATTTAATTTACTTCAACGAACTTGTTTTGCTACTTTTCACAGTTCAAGTCGTAAACATGAAGAGCAGAAACCATAATAATCTACGTAGAAGCGTTTCAAGAAGTAGCTGTCAATCGTTAGCCAATGATTTATCTGCACACAAACATTTTGTGTAATAATATTGATTTAACTCGTTGAACGAACTATAGTTACGCATGGCGCATGATTTGGAATGGATTTTAGGAATAAATAAAATTGAAAAATAAATAATGTGTAATTAGGCTATTTCACAATTAGCGTCGCGGAAATCGTTACCGCGATTTCATAAAAATATTGGCCATCTCTGGGTTTTTGTAATGATCAGTGGTTCTTTATAACTCGAAAATGTCTTTTAGGTGTAAACGATCGATAATGAATTGATCGAAACACAGCTTTCGTTTTCGATCTCGATATACTCCGCTCGATCGTGGAGTTTCGTGATTGCGATCTCGTTATAGAGCATTCTAAACGATGCGGTTTTATGTCGTGGATATGCGAATACCGGTCGGTATGGCGGCGAATGTTTCTTTGATAATTCATGGGAAGAAATCGGAACGTGGCTGACATCGCGACATAATGGCGGACTGTGTGATTGACGCACACTGCGGCGGATCGAGAATTTTCGCGATGTTTTTCTCGAGTATTCTTGACTCATGGAAAGATATCACAATGAAACTTGACATAATTTTTTTAAAAAAATATTCTTTTCCAATAATATAAAATATGATATACATATATATCGTGTATATTTCACATTCATTTATTCACTATTTTTATGACTTTATTGTAAGAATTGTGGAAGAGGAATTAATTAATATTTCGCTTATTCGTGGAATATATCTGCATTTTAAATTTCGATCCTATCTTCAGTGTATGCTAATCATGTCCTCTATTTTCTTTTTCCTTCGGCCCTTGTCCTGCACTCTTAGATCACTCACACATCGTTCGCATTCACTCATCCATCCTCACATCTTTGCCGCGCGTCTCACGACAGCGTTCAAGCGATAAACTGTCGAAGAACGCTTATATAAACAAACGCAGCTCTCATCGCAATGCTCGCCGCTTGGTTTCCGAGAAACAACCAACATTATAGACAAATTTATTAAACAAATTTGACAAATTGTTCTCGTTTCGTACTCTGTTTAATATATTTTTGAACTAATTCAAATCATGTAAAACTTTAAATTCTGAAATTATGAACAAAATCAGATCATATCGAGCGCACAGAAATTATTCAAAATTAATTTAAATTTATAAGAAGTAGTACCGCAGAAATGAAAAGTAATAAAATTAAAATCAATACGTATAATTAACTTAGTTATTCTATTAAGCATAAGAGAATGAAATGTTAAAACTTGCGTTATGCAACTGTTACTCTTCTTTTATTTATATTGTAGTGTTCTAGGTAACCAATAAGGCGAATACTCAAGATTCTTAAGGGATTTATTATTTAACACACCTACATAAAGTTGTATCTTGACACATTACGTACCGCCATTGTTTCTAAGAAAACTTCCTCTGGTAGTTTCTGCTGGTTTCTTCCCGGTGAAATGAAAAATAACCAAATATATTTAAAACTCTTTTTAGCTTGAGAAATCTGAATGAACAACTAATTGTTATCATAATTAAAACCAGTTAGAGATTATAATTTAATTCTCCAATACGTAGTGGTACTTTATACATGTATGCACACTTGGTTTCCTTATCTTATGTGCAGAACATACGCGGCAATTTCTTCTAACGAGTTTGTTAGCCTTATCGCCAAACATTTTTACCACCTCGTGTTGTTTGATAGAACAAGACAGACAGTCCTTGTGGATCAAACCAGGATATTCTTGTAAAAGAGGTACTAGGTGTATTAATTTCCACATCTTCGTCAGAGTAGGATTCCCTGTCTGACAGCCATGACTCGGCAAGTGTGAGCAAAAACGTAGAGAATTTTAATTTTTTGCCAGGATTTAAAGTTTTGAAGATTATACATGCATTTAGATTATAAATTCACAATTAAATAGATACATAGTAACTTTCTTGGTCCATTTTTTGGTGTTTTTTCTTTTTAAATAGGGTAGTTGAAAGATCTGCAAAACTCACACCGCTCATAGAATTATAATCAATAATGCTTATTGGTTTTTTTTCGAAAGGCCCGTTTTTCTATCCTTCTTACTCATATCTTGAATCCTTGTTTAATGGATCGTTGAAATCATCGTGACTTTCTTCTTTTCGTTGCTTTGTCACATTTGCAGCAGTACTTCTCCTTTTCGGTGATATATATATATTCATTTACATTCAGTTTTGTTTTTTTAGTATGACAAGTAGATCCACAGTTTGCTCGTGGATGGTACCAGAGATTCTAGTTTTCAAACTGTATAGATAATTTGCTAAATCTACACTACTATAAAAGTTGCGTCAGTATAAATATTATACCACTTATTCAAATATGGCGCCAATACTTCAGTTATAATATTCCGCAAATTACTGCTTTCACCTGAATATAATTTGAAATTATATATATATAACCATTCTATTTAAAATTTCATATTTAACTATATTCATGGGATTATACACTCTGAATTTTAGGCGACGACGCCATGAAATCATTCCCTTATCTAACGATAAGTTTGGGTGGGACCTCCATAAAGTTTTTACTAAAATAATTGATAATGTTTTGAATTTTTACCAAGCGATTTGAATTTAACGTTATATTTTCATTATCTGAGAAACGAAGAAAGGACAGTATTTGCTAGAATTGTCAGAGTTTATATTAGTATTTATTGAATAAGAATAAGACGCGAAGATATAAGAATAATATTGAATAAGAATGATACGCGATAATATAATGGATAAGAAATGCATGCATAGGTACGTTCAAAACGACGCCTCGAGATCAATTACTTGGTGAAAGGCAACCAAGCGAACGGTTACACGCGAAGTTTAGGGTTCACTTATTTGCGAAAGATTGATCACCCTCACACAACTCACAGCATTCACATGCTTTTTTCATTTTACTCCAACTTTTACAGCAATTTTCATAATTCACAAACATTTCTGCTGAACCACGTAACAGTCTTTTGGCATAAATGATTTTTTGGACATCAGTCCAATTACAAAGTTCGGCCATCTCTTCAAACTCTTGTAACCAATTACGATTTATTTTATTTTATTTATCACCGCTGAAAACACTCATAGACTCCTTGACATCTCGAAATGTTAGTAAATGTTCATGTCTGTTACTAGCACTCACGCGCACATGCAAATTTTGATCACAATCGTCTTCATCGGTTTCCTCTTTTTCTTCTTCACTTTCTTCATCTTCTCCATGTTCGGTTTCCAGCAATAGTGCGACTCTCAGACCATTCTGTAATTCACTTTTGTTACCGCAGGTTTTCAATTTCCTTCTCCTCAATTCATCTTTCAGTTGTATCAATTTCATTGTTCCAGTTTGTTCTAATTTGTCACTATTTTTACTCGCTTGATCCATCTCAATCACGATTTTTACTTGTTCACACATAATTGATGTCTTGTTTTGCGTAGTTACGTTTACTTTTTTTTTTTTTTTGATATCCCGGACGAGCCCCCAAAAATTTGTAGTGGTATAATTTAATGATATTTATTATATTAAGTAATAAAGAAAACGGAAACACAACACAAATAATAAACGCAAGATAGTATAGATACTAGATTATACCGGTAATTCTGCATAAGATTCGTTGGTGTGATGAAATTTTAATTGTACAGGTATGCATTTGACTACGAACGACTTCACCTGCTATTAGTGCCATGTGTCCTGGTTCTTTTGTTACAATATGTGCGAATTCATCCGGTATTAGTGTTGCTAAGTGCGTTTTCAATAACCTTCTGTTCCAGCAGGTACCTTTGTGTGACTATGTCCTGGCAGAGGATCGTCATTTGTTTCCTGAGATGTTTTTCTACATAGCCAAATTTAGAATTTATATATATGAAGATTGT